AACGGAAAAAAAAAAAAAAGATCTTCCGAAGATGAAGGTGGGTGGGACGAGGCACGTTTCCTAGGATAACATCAATTACTGCCGGCTTTGTATACATCTTCTGTTTCCCCCTTTACTTTCTCCGGAATGGTAGGTGCTTCAGTTAAAAACCAATATAAGTTTTTAAAGGACAGCCTAGATCCCCTCCCCACACCAGCATTAACCATCAAACAGTCTCAAATGTTTGAGAGGCAAAGCTGCCCTGCTCTGATTTAGTCCTTACCCGCCCCCAGACTCAACCCTGCTAGTATACCCAAGATGGGAAGAAAGAGAGCCTGGGGCTTCTTCTGACTGTTTACCATCCCTAGACGGAGGGTAATTAGGAGTGGCCACAACTTAAAGCATTGCTATTTGAATTGCTTTAAGCACCATAGAAAAACTTGAAAATATTGACCCTTCCTTGTGTTGCAATGAATACATCATGTCAGAACCTCTACTGAGTGGGTAGAAGGGAGCCTGTGGAGGGCCCCAGGGTGGGTGCTGGCTGGGTGGGTCTAGGTACTGCACCCTAGCTCAGAGGAGGGGGCTGTAGGTTGGGGCTGGCTGGTGCCCAAGTGGTGGGTGGAGGCTGCTGTGCCTGGGGCAGCAAGGCTGCACACACACACACACACACACACACACACACACACACACTCAACACACCACCCCCACAATCGATCAGAGCAAAGTGCAGGGCTGGGATGAGTTGAATGTGGGATTCAGGTTCCTCACTACAGCCACAGCAGCGGGTGGGAGAGCAGAGAGCTAGCTGTACATGGGGCCCTGAAAGCCAGGTGCTAGGCCTGAAGCCTGAATATCAGAGAGCAGCACCCTAGGAATGGGCACTGTATCCAGGAATTAACAATATTTTAACCTCCAATCTAGAAAAATGTCTCAAAAAAGTCCTAATTAAGCCAGAAAAATTAGACCTGAAACTCTATTTTTTATGGAATACACCCTCTCCAGTCCCAGCAGGATGAAGGTATCCCTGTGGATTGGAAATCTGGCCCTGAGGATGGTCTGGTCCTCCAGAGCTCCCTGGGGGCCAAATGCTCTCCCTGGAGCCCAGGGAACTGGCCCAGCCTGAAGCCCAGCCACAGACAATGGGATCTTCCCAGAGCACTTGCTTTGCAGGCAAACTTGTTTTGATGGGGAGGAGAGGTGTGCCCTGGAGCCCTGCCGCCCAGCACCCTCCCTCAAGCAGGGCTGACCTCTGCCCCCTCACCCACCCCTTCTTCCTCAGAAGACTACAGACTATGGGGCATCCCTCATTCTCCTCCAGGCCAGCATCTGAGCAGAGAAACAGCATGCCTCTGAGCCTGAACAGCAGACTCTACTGGTCAGCCAACTTGGCTTGGGTGACTCTGTGCCCAGAGCTCAGGGAACAACAGACACAGCAGTGACATTCTCATCTATCCAGGGGGTGGTCACCTGCACAGCTTGTGAATGTCACATCATGGGGTGCCCTGGCCTCCTGGCATCCCTCCCTCTGCCTGCTTCCCCCACTCCCTGCACCTGGTTATTAAGGGCAGACAGGTAAGAGGCAATTCCACAGGACTCCACATGTGGGCAGGCAGGGTGTTTCAGGAGCAAAGACTGGAGAAGCACAGAGTTCCTCATGGGCACAGCTGGACTGGCACTCCCAGGATCAGCTCCCTCCTGGGTCAGGGGATGTGGCTTTCTACTGCCTTGGGCCACCAGGGAGGTTTATTCAGGCTTCCTCACTGGAGGGCTAAAGGACGATGCCCCCTCCCTCCATCTCCAGCCAGCTCTGGTACCCAGAGAGCCTATCAAATCCTAGCACCTTGGGAACAGGGCCTGGCTAGATTCTCAGGAGTGGAACAAGGATGCACAGGAGAGCTTACTTAGCTGGTTTGTTCCTGTTTTGGGGACCTTTTGTCTATTGTCTTGAAAGCAGGGCCCTGGGCTGAGCCAGTGGGAGAAGTTGCAGCCTCTGCCCTCCTACCCATGACTGTGTCCAGATAGCAGACACCCACTGCCTTCCACCTCCAGACGCCAGATGGCTCCCTCTCTTTACCTTTCCCCTCAGATCTTGGGGGCTCCTCCCCAGGCCAGTGAGAGCCTCCAAGCCCCAGGCACCCTCAGAACCCACTGCTGGTTTTCCTAGGCTCTACCCTTCTTCATGTGGAGATTTGCCTCCTTCCCTCTGCAGCATCCTCCATGGCTCCTCCACCTTCCCTTCCACCTCCCCCTCCCACCCCTCCCCCCTAAATCCCTGCTGAGTACAGGTGCATCCCTGGCTGTGCCCGCCCTCCCACCCTCCAGGAGGTGCCTCCCTGGGCCCTGCTCCATCCCCTCCTTCCAGCCCCTGCCACTAGATGGCCTTCTCACTCTGCCTTGGGCTTGGACTGGGCCAGTTTGGGGAATTCCCACAACCCCAGGTTGGAAGGACCCGGAAGCAGGGCTGTCCATCCATCCCCTCCTCCAGCTCCAGCCCTCTGTTCCTCCTCCCTCCACTCCTCTGTCCCTCCCCTCCATTCCTCTTCCTTCTAAGAGTTCTGCGCAGTCACTTTCCAACCAGACGTACAGTCTCACCTTCTTTTTGAGAACTTACAGTTTCAAGTTTGAGTTTCCACAGTCACATTTCTCTCTGTGATTGCCAGCCTGGGTCCCTTCTGACCTCAGGAGGGAGCCTGGCCTGGCACTGTTGTCCTAAGCAGTGGCCCTTGCCCAGCCCTGAGGGCGGTGTCTCTAGCTCCCAGGAGAGCCATAGGCCCTGGATGCTGGGGAGCCTAGATGCCTGGCAGTCATGGCCCAGCATAGGTGCAGGTAGGTGAGTCCAGGCCACAGCACTGCCTGGTGCAGATATTTGTGGAGCCAGGCCCTGACCAGGATGTAAAGGACCTCCAGGGGCTGAGGCCTGAGAGCCTATGTGCTGGTGGTTCCCAGAGCAGTATCTCTCGGCAGGTTGGGCCGGGACACTGTTGTCTCCCACCTGCCCCCCCAATTCTGGGGTTTAAGAGCAGGGGAAGGGGGACCTCAGTTCTGTGAAGCTGGCACTGGGCAGGAATGAGCCCCTCTGAGTTTCCTACTTCTCTGCACCGCACCTCTGCCCTGGGGCCTTTATGGTTGTTATCAGTCCTGTGTGGCTTCAGCAAGCAGAGGGGGTTCAGGTCCAAATAACCCTCTGCTGTGTGGGTTCTTGGTCTCGAGGGTTACAGTGGTAGCTATTACCTCTACTTACCTGTGTACACAGGAAGCACAGGTGGCCTCATGCCAAGGAAGGGGCAGATCTGGACCCCAGCCCTTCCTCTAGATCCTGCTCTGCTCCTGTGACACAGTTGCCCCTTCCATCTGTGGGCCACTTGGCATCCAGGTGCCTCTGGGAGGTTTTTCATGACCCCTGTGCTTGTGAGTGCCACTCAGTAGCTTTGGAAACAGAAGCCCATGGCAGTGCTTTGGCCCCTGCCTTTCTCTGTTCCAGTCCTTGTTCTGCTTACTTCTATTTGGGAACCCCAAAACCCAAAAAGGAGGGAGCAGAACTTCCTGGCTCCAGGTCTGCAGCTAGGCTCCCACCTCAGGGTGCTGTCTTGTCCTGCAGGAGGTGGTGTGTCCTGGGATCCCTTCTTCCTTGGCCACCCTGGTGCCAAATCCAAGGTGGCAGAGGTGGATGGTGGGACATGTATGTGAAGGTGTGTGCACACATTAGGGTGAGACACAGGAGAGGCCCAGGGATCTGCAGGAGCCTCTCCAGTGCCTCCCTGGATGTGAGTGTCACCACAGTGGGAGCTGCTTGTCTTTTACCCTCCCTTGCCCGGGAAGGGGCATTTTTACTTGTTGCCACTTTCACCCCTGCTGGGAAGTCCCTTACTGGCCAAAGGGTGGCTGTGACCTTATGACCTTGGGCAAGCAGAGGTCATCTGGCAACCTCCATCCATACATGAAAGGGAGTGGAGAGACTGGCCAATTCCTCCTAAAAGCAGAAGTAATTTAGAGGTTCAGGCCTGGCTGTCCCTGCACCCAGCTTATCTTTTGACTCCTGTCAGGCTCCTCCCTGCAACAGCTCCCAGGCCTCCCATTGTCCCTAGCATGGAACTGTGGAGGGGCAGGGCTGTGACCTGGGTGTAGGAGACAGCAGACCCCACAGCCCTCCAAGAGCTTTCAGTGAGTCATTGGCCCCCTACACATTGGTCTTGCTTGTCAGAAACCAGTAATTTCTGCCCCTCAGTTCTGGGAGCCTGGAGCCTGTTTTTGGTGAAGCCCACAGTGCTCAGACATTGGTCCCTGCTTAGAGGGGGAAACTGAGCCTCACGTACCTACCTGCCTGCCATGGACACCAAAAAGCCACGCAGCACCCTCTTGCCCCTTGCTGCTGCTACATCCACTCAGTACTGTCCACACTGTGTGGGGGACCAGCCAGCAGCTGGCCTTGTCCTCAGCCATCCAGACAGCAGCCTGGACAGGAGTCCAGAGGCCACAGGGCCTGACCAGCACCCAGGGCAGGAGCAGCTGCTCCCCAAATCTGAAGGACAGTGGACCCCATCCCCAACCCTCTATGGAACATTGTCCTTTGCTTTCTTAAAAGGAGATAAGATATACATCCTCCTTAATATGGCAAATTAGGAGCCAGAAATGACAGAGGCATGGGTGGCTGAGGCCTTCTGTGGTGGGGAGATGGGCAGAGATAGGGTAGGGATTTCTGATTTTTCCTTTGTATTGGGGGGTTGACCCCAGGGCCTTCCCACTGAGCTACATCCCTAGCACTTTTTAGGTGGTGTGATTAAAAAATACAGTGAATGTTTAAATTTCTAAAGTTTATTACAGTAAAAGACACATTGCCGTGAATTCCCCTCAAAATTCTACTCCTTG